TGTGGTAAGATTTCACCATTGAAGATAGTGAATGTAACTTACCTGGCAAATGAACTTAATCAGAACGCAGGTTTTGAGCAGCTAAGTTATTTCGAGAACCTACTATTCAACAAATATGCCGAAGAAAATGGAGATGAATAGGACACACGCTTAGGAAACCATCGGGTGATATCGCTCGCCAGGTCCTCGAGTGGAACGCGAATGAGAAAAGAAAAGTTGGGGGTGTGTCCGAGAGTGAAATGGAGGAGGTCATGCGAGTAGGAGATGCAAGCTTATGGGCATCGTGGTGCCAGATGAAGAGTACAGCAGAGAGCAGGATAAACTAGAGATATGTTTTTGAAGCTTTATGTTTCATTTGAAACCCAAAGGAATAATAAAATCACAAGTGAAAGCATCCAAAAATGGAGTGACTTGGATGTCTCACACAAGGTTTTCATAATATTTGATGCACTGAATAGGCAATTTAAAAACAATTTTGGGTGAAATGTCCTGACATATGTGTGATACGACTCTAGTAGGTGAACTGATCAAATACACCAACTGTTTTACGTGTCCGATGCATTCATCTTATGTCTTCATAGTGTATAAGGATTTCAAAAGTTACCCTGGCCCTAGGAGTGTCGACAGCTGAGTTTAAATGTCAGCTTAGAAGGTAAATGAGTGTATGGTTTAGTGATCATCTGACAATCTAGACATCCACGTAACAACCTTCAGATGGCAAGACGACTTCAATTTACATTTAAGAGAGTCATGACCTGCTGCCCAATATAACAAATTGATGTCACGAATAAATACAACACTGTTCTGCATTCTCTGATGACTTCAGTCACGTAAACAATATCAACATCAGATTTAACATTACCACGTAATGGTACAAGCAGACGTTAGTATCATTCGATTTTGAAACAAAGAACAAATAAGACTATTATTTTAATTGAATTTTAGATTTTCCCGTCGACTGATTGGACCGAAGTGCTCGGTCCCAGATTGACATGTCAGCTTCTTGTGCAGATGCTTTGACGATGTCTGGGTATTTAATTAGAATTTAATTTGTGGATGGTGACAAATTAAATAAGACCACTAGTTTGTGGAATTAACAAGAACAACTAATGCATAAGCTCGACACGTTATCATTCCCTTGCGTTTCGAGTGGAACGTAGGGCTTCAACAACACATCTCCACTTTCTTCCATTTTCTGCCATTCTCTTCATCTAGGTCCACAATTGCCCATAACCTCTCATCTGCTTCAAGTCACGCTAGGACGACCCACTCGTCGCTTCCCATTCGGATTCCACTCAAGGGCCTAGCACGCGATGTGACTCGACTGTTTCCTCAATGTATACCCATCCATCTCCATTTTCTCCTACATATTTGCTGGTTTGTTTACAAAGTTTCTTGTTACTAATTCTTTTTGGCCACTTTATCTTTAGTATGGAGCCAGCGAAGGCAACTGTTGATGAAAGTCTGCAACCTGTTGGGAATGCTTTTCGTGACACGTAATGCAAGTTTCTGGCCCGTATAGAAGGACCGACTTGACATTGGTGTTGGAAATCCGAAGCTTGTTCCTTATGCTGAGTGCAAGATATCCATAGGATATCCAGCCCATTGAAGGTTACGCCGAAACATAAAACCGGTCCATAAATGAGACAGTTGCTAAGATGTATATTTCTGAATAATTCACTATCAGATACACCAAAAATTTAAAGAGTGAATGATAGACAATACCACTGAACCTGCTTATCTCGAATTAAAAACTGAATACTTATTTTATCCAAGCTTCATGTTTTCCACTTTTTTTTACTTTTCGTTATTATGATATACACAACTATGACAATATGAATGAGTGCATTCATCTTTCAGATACATCACAAAATAAACAAATAAATAAATAACGATGCTTCACAAATCAAATTAAAATTGCATCAAGTCAACTGTACAAAAATACTCAACAAAATGCAACTCACTCAAGTTTTAGTAAAATATCATGTATTACAGTAATCGTATTAGGCCATGTTTCTGACCACGAACTACCAGATTTCTCTTCAACATCAAAAGACTCAATCATATTGGTAATACGTTGTAAATTAATCGTAGTTTTCACTGTTTCAGTAGCAGATACTAGCGCTACACGTTTCAAATGATCTGCTTGTAGTACACTAGCTCTAGAATATTCACTAAGATTAAGTAGTTCACATAGTGTTTCTGCGCATACAACACCAGCTATTCCACCACCAATAATAACAAAATCATAATGACTGACAGAATTTAAGGTCATATTTTCCTTGAAAATAAATGAAATGTGTATAAATAGACAGCTAAAACAATAAAAATAGATGAACAATAAGAAGTACACAACGATATAAGTCAAACTGATAAACAGAGAGATTTCCGATTGATCACTTTCAGTAGAAAACATTAATTTGGTCTACTTCCAGTGGTCTAGTACCCCTCTTTCCCTTAGAATATTCTATCATTATTACAAACAATAGTTGTTTACAATTTGAGGAATAATAAACACCATTTTGTTCGTTTTCTCACTTTCGACCAGTTTATGAAAACTTCTGTTAGAACAGGTCTGAAATTCAAGTTAGGGCTTTCACATCATTGAGTACATCAACATACAACGAAAGAAAAGTTGATTTCACACATTTCTATTAATATCAAGAAGATTGACTAAGAAATCTAAATCACTTAATAAGGTGACAAAAGGTAAAATCCAACTACTGGCTATATTAAAGAGTAGCATCGATGATAAATCCCAGTGTGAAAGTACTAATCCGCAGTACACCTCCAATACTGAAATGCTTTTGAATCATTACTGATTCTCTGTTTCACCTTGCTTAAGATCTTCTACTAGCTTACAGGTTTCTTATTGTTTTCAAAGCATTGGCAGCAACTTAAACATACCAAACAGAACTCTCCAACCCTCTTTAACTGTTGAATGCCGTATTCATTCGGATATAACATGCTGTTCAGCACACAAACATCCTGGCAAAGGAAGTATTTTTTCCAAACCCCATATACAGCCTAAATTGTATTGTTTTACTAGATATCCCCCATCCATTGTAACACTTCTGCATCTAGTGCGTTTGGATATTAAGTAGCCAAAGTTTATGTATTCGAAAGTAAAAAACAGTTCTCCCGTTAGCACATTATTCTACTGAGTGGTCATACAACAATTAGAGCTGTGAAGACTCAGTGCACAAACACTTACTGACCAGTTTTCTAGGCGCTAAGAACAGATTAAGGCAAGCCTTATTAAACCTGATCTTTTAGTAGTGCTTTTTATGGGAAAGAGATCAACATCAATGTAGCCTAGTGAATTTAAACAGAAAAAAAGTAGTGACTATTCGCTAAAGCTCAACCTCTACTCAATAAAAGCTTTAAGTAAACCTAATTTATACAACCAAGTAAATACGTATAAAAACTTAGTAGTGATCAGAACCGTTGTTAAATAACTTGAGATATTCACCCGCTTATTCATTAGGCGACTAACCAGACTAATGAGGCATTATTCCACTTCTAGAAAGCACAAACACCACATAGTTTGAAGATCGAAAAAACAAGTGAAACGATGAGTAGGTTAACCTGTATCACTTTCGGAAACGCTAGACGTCTGTCGAAAGTTGGTGCTCTTTCTGGAGTGCGGCGTTTATCCAAGTAACTACTAACAGCATCGCAATGTTTAGGGAGAAAACAAAAGTCTCGAATACATTTTAAAGAACAAGCTGAACAATTACCGTAAAATGACTGATCTGCTCATTTAGATATTTTTTCACTTCAAAAAGTGATGTGTAAATAAGTGTTAAGACAAATTTGTAGTCTTAGATACTGCTAGTTATCCAATATATGTTACACTAAATTCCTTCCAGTCGGTTTAAACAAATTAAGTGAGCATTGACATTTAATTATCTCTTTCTAATAGTAAACACCAAATCAGCCTTTATTTACTTGTACTCTATCAACATTTATTTTCATTCCTTGGTTGTTTTTCTTTCCTTGTCTTTTTTGCGATAATGAGAAATATGGCTAAATCATTTCATGTACTGTATTAAGGGACTACACTAGTCTATATATCTAGAGTTCACATTTGTAGACCATTAGTGTATGCAAATGATACGAACAAGATTTTACTACCAAAGACTACACACTAAGATACAGTAACATATTAGAAACAGTGAGACTACAGTTTTCATTTTCACACTAAAATAGTGTCACCCTTAAAGTGGAAATAGATGAATATAGGACGAAGCTTCATTTACAAAAATTCACTTCAAACGGTCTCACACACTACAATTGTCATTATGCATAAAACCCATTCCGTTTTTATTTTGTATTATTTTTTATTTTATTTTTATTTATATAGCAATAAATAGTGTTGATATACAGTTGGTTTCAGATACACTAAACCAAAACGACAATAGATTTTGTATTCAGATTAAAAGAGATCAAGAAAACCAGATCTCACGGTCTAGTTTCATTATTAAAATGTACATATTATTCATCGCTATACTCTGTAACGTATTAGTTATCCATGACACTTGTTTTCAATAAAAGAAGCACTAATTCGCTAAACCTACAAAAGATATGCAGTGAATGAAGGTACGCATTTCTAATAACACACAAAATTTCCACACAATGAAATACAAACTGCGTTTTGTCTTTGATGCCCAATGATCTCCCCGAAGGCAAAGTTCTTGGGTAAAAAAACCACCGAATCACTGAATAAAAGACATCTACTATGATTAGTGAGCTATGACTTTAACCATCCCTAAACTTTCAACCAATAAACTCCTAAAATACAACATAAAACCTTTATTAGGATAAAACAATGAATCATATCATAAAATTTCGGAACTGTAAGATTGTATACAAACATTACAGCCCTGAATAAAGAAAACCATTCATACAAATTGTATATTGTTTAATTACATGATAAAATAAACACCTTAAAAAGTGTACAATGTAAAGTTAGAAAGATGTGAAAAAGAACTGGAAGTTTAAAGATGTATGGTCCTCGAGCGACCACCGTTATGGGATTTCCCAACACCACTTTCGAGACAAGACATACGCATATCAATGTTACGTATCATTTCTGTGGCTCGTTCAACTTTGTAGTTAATAAGGCTTCGATAAAATAAAACAGCGAAGATCATGAAAAGGAGTACAGCAGGTAAAACAACAGTTGTTCCAGCTATAGCAGACAGACGACTAACAAACCAAAATTTAACCCAACATGCTAGAATTACTACAGCTAAAAACAAAATAATCCCAACAACAGTACTGAATATCCATGCAACTTCAACAAATCTGTGGAGGAAAGTGAGCAAGCAACATATAAACAAACGACAGCTTACGTTCGTAATCGATTGTGTGGTGCTTCTTCAGTCATAGAACCATCTCTAGGAACCGTGTACGAATCAATGTGTGGCAGAATACAAGTACTTATCATCACAGCCATTATATGCACAACCACAAGAAGACATGCAAGAGTTGTGAAAGCAACCAGTAATGCTTCAGGCGGCCTTTCTACACCAACAACAACCTACACCATTTTTCTCTAGTTATTGTGATAAAGTAACCTCTAATTCGATAACAGCGACCATAGCAAATCCTGCCAATAATGCTGACACTCGACTTGTTGCCTTCAGTTTTGCTCGACTCAGCTGAAAATGTCTCCGTGCTAATAAATATGAGTCTGAGAGGAATGGAGATGTGACAGCGTTTAACGAACTCATTGAAAGGCCTAACAATAAAAAGAAACAAATTACGTATGAGATATTCATAAAGAATCTTAAACAAAATTCTTGTTACACTGCGTAAGTTTGTGTGTGAAGCTTATTTTTCGCACAGTTTAGATCTTCGATACAGTTTTACAGTAAACTGAAACTCATACGCCTCTCGCTCCCACTGTGATTACTATCGACATTTGTGATAAATCCGATATTTGTAATCAAAGGTCAACCCACTGGGAAACCTAAGATATCCTAATACACGAAACTGTGTAATCAATATCTTAAAAATAGTTAACAGTATAAACAGGAAACTAGTTTTGTCGTGTTCACTCCGGTGAGCCATCACTATTACTAGTGAGTGCTGTCATCATCTCATTGAGAATCCCCACTGAAGGCCTTGCTCAAACCAAAAAATAGAAACGAGCTTGTGTGGTAATATAGAAAAAAGTACCAACACAGGACCAAACATTACTGAATAGTATGACTGAAGATCGCAGTGACAAAAGAATAAAAGACAGGAAGAATATAGTAATAAGACTTTCATTTGCATACAACTACAGTAACATTCTTTATAAAATAAGAAAGTGACCCAGTAATACGACTAGAAGATGAGTATTATAACAACCACTTTCAGTGAGCAATAGGTTCGTGTTTAAATTTTTGAACTATTCTGACGAAGTCACCCAAGGTCCACTGTTTCTTTCTTTAGTTCAAATAACACCTTTGTTATTAAAAAGTGTTCTTCTATTTCTCCGTACATCGGATTAATTAATTATCAAAACCAGATGAACAGGATTATCTCTTACTTCCAAGGTATAGCTGGTATCTATAAAAGGCTGGATGTGCTGGCATTTCGGATGTAAGGAAACATTTAGGATGAATAGTCCAACTTAGTTGATAAAAGTTGATAAATTTTACCGCTCAGGAAACATAAAGAGTAAAAAATGTTTAGTGAGAGGACAGGCTTAATAATGGACGACCTAGCTGAAATACTGATGATAAACACAAACGGGCGAAACGTTTCTTTAGCTTTTTGACTCAGTCAAAACGTTAACTAGTGATATAAAACTTGGAAATGTGGAAAGACATAGTGTTTACTTGCTTATCAGATCAGATTCCAACACGATCTTGGTATTATCAAACCCATCACAGACAAGGGGCAACAGCAATCACCACTCATAATATGTACAGAATTTACCAAAAGACCAACTCTGTAATAGATCAATCTGCACACCTCAAATCAAGGGTAGGTCTCGAGACCAGAGAAGATGTAATACTGAGCATTATTCATTCTTAGAGGATAAGGTATCGATATCTGAGATTTATACCTAGAAGACCGTATCAAAAGACAGTCACATGAACTGGAACTAAGTGTATGGCACCGTAATGGAGAGAATGACTTTGAAAACCCCAGCCTACACCTGAAGCCGTAGACAATGGAATTAGCTTATAAAAATTCACTGTGCGCAGAGTAGATAGATTAAGCCGCAGATGCAGCAAAGTAGTGATCTAACTCAGCTTTGCGTAGCGTAGAAGCACTCGTTCATAGAAGTGATATGAACTTATACGCTGCATATCAAGATGCGTGCAAGACACTGACCTGTGATATACCGTAATCCCAACTGGACAGAGGGCAACTTTCTCACAGAGCAATTAGGCTCATGGACATCACGGAGTGGGTCTCTAACAGTAGATGACTTCAACGCAATCAATAGAAAGAATCTGACGGAACTGATGGAATATACCTTTGAACATATACTGGTAGAATCTTCCATCTTCGTGGTTCTAGTGCAGAACGTCAAGAAACCTACCTGTCATAATTCTCAGCACACCTCTTCAACTTTGGACTTGATTTTCTCGACAGTGAGAATACGGACTTCATGCAACATCTCCCATTCCTAAGAAATATGACCACATTGTGCTTAGGTCCATTGTTGCTATAGCACTCCGTGGAAAAAGCCAGCTCAAACAAGTGTTGAAAGTCAAAATAAATGTTATCCCTTTTGCATCTTTACCTGAGAATTAGACCAGAAATCTCAAACGTCATGTGAAAGCTGAATGAAGTCAGACTAAGCTACTATCCAGCCCCTAGTGATTTAAATCTACACTCTATGGACTGTCTTCAAGGGTTGAAAGTATTACCCTTCCCTTCCATAGACATATCACTGTAAATACAAGTGCTTGAACGTATTTGTCACCCTCGGGATTTTACAGGTGAGGTAGCCGTATATTGCAGGTGGAAACAAAGCCACTGAAAGAATTTTTTAATCCCGGATGAGATTCTAAATCTATCTGACTCAAATAGCAATGATATGACAAGGAATGTTTATACGTGAACCTGAGAGACAATACGTCGTACGTAGGCTCCGAACTTACCAACGGCAAGATGAAGGGGGGAAGTTAAAATATAACAGCCACTACCAAGTGCCTCCTAATTAACCTTGGACAACTAATCACAGTGAAGCGACACTAATCTGGTAGGTTTGTTAATTGAATGTACTCAAATGCATAGACAGCCTTGTTACTGCGTAAGTCCTTTAACTATGTTCTTCAGCGAAGCATAATAGATAATTCTATATCTAGACAAAGCTGAGAAACTCGATCAAGACAGAACTATGGACGTAATGTATGTATGCCATTCGCGATAAATAATGTGACTGACTGCTTACGCGTCATTCTAATGGTTCTTCAGTCGAATTATTGGTGGCTGCTATAGTTTAAGTTTCCCAAAGAGAGGCAGCTGACGAGCATATACATCACTAGTAAAAGATTAACAAAGGCTCCAAGTTTTCTATACTCAGTCAGATATCTCAATTGATATATACCCAGCTAGCATTGTCTCCGGGCACACTGCAGAACGTGGGACAATGACCCGAAGCCTGCCCCAAACATTCTGCAGTGTGCCCAAAGTCAATGCCAGCTGGGATACAAGCATGATATGAAGCATGTATATGCATATATGAATAGACAAGCGACAGTTTTTACAAGAGATGCACGACACGAACACTGTTTGGACCATCTGTGGACAACCGAACACTGGTCACAATAACAAAGATTCGGTACTTCTAGTGAGAAACGCTGTCCCTTTAATATTCACTTCAGTTGTTCATCCAATAACATCCAATATCCTGATTACGAGCTAGTATAAACCAGTGATTTCTTTGAGCTCGCTTCTTGATTGTGAGGCAGAGGTTCCAGATCTTCGGTGAGCTTCTGCGTAGTAAGTCCCGCCACTCGACTGCTTTAGCTCTGGTAGACTCCAAGAAGAGTGGTGCGAGGATTGGTCAAGATGTGGTTTGTAGTATGCAGTATGTTAGGACTGTATTGCTACCGTGAATGGAGTTTGACCTAACTCCCGTTGGTCATTCGGTGTAGTCATAAAAGCAGAATAGTAATAATAATAATAATAGGTTGTATTGTAGATAATATAGGTTGAGATAAGTGGAATAATAAAGGTGACCTAGGGAAAAGATAGAGTGAGAGAAGGCAGATCAGGTCGTGGGGATTTAGTTTGTACGCTTATTCATTGACAATGTGGTTTTAAGTTTTATGAAGATAAGCCATTGAGACACAAACCTTGCATTTCTGCATGAATGTCCAGCTTCCGCTTAAAAATCTCCAGAGATGGCGCTGTAGTCACGGCCGCCGGTAAAGCGTTCCAGAGGCGGCAAACACGAAGCGAAAAGAAATGTGATCGCACTCGAGTCTCTGGTGTGCTATCCTTAGCGGGTTACCTCGTGGAAGCCTATAATCACTTAATGGCGGGATGCTTTTATTTGGGTGGGCCTGGTCATCTGTCACATAAGAGCTAATAGACAATAAAAACCTTGTAGTTCCACATAAAGTATAACCAAATAATAATTCACTCCAAAATAACAGAACTCACAAGTACCAATTACAGGAAATAATAAATAATACAACTACCAATCCACCGAGACAGCAATGGACAGCGATAGACGATAGTGGTAGCCGTAATTTTGAGTGCCCGCGAGTGAGATAAACAAGTGATCTACTCGCTTGTGATTGGCCAATTTGTCATTCGAGTTGAGGTAATTTCAAACATCATTTAGCTGCTTGGTTGGGTTCTCAATTTCCAGAAGCGTTTTATGAAGTCGGACAGATAACTGACAACACAACCTATTACAGCCCAGGAGAGAAATGATGCACCAGTGGATTTATTTGCTGAGTTCGACGAATTCATGCCGTATCAAAATGTAAGGGCTTCTCAGGAGTGTCAAGAATGCAAACAATGTTCTGAAGAGGTAATAACTTCAAGCAACTTCAATTATCCCTTAACCATTATTTTCAGATATCCTTAAATATGTATAATATACACAGTGGTCTGGTCAATCATGATAAAAACGGTATGGTTGATGCAGCATATTTATTATTATTATTTATTATTGTATCCTTTAGTTCCTAGAGGAACATAGGGCTTCAGCTGCGCACCTCCATTGACTTCGGTTTTCTGACAACTTTTTCACCCTGCTCCAGGTCTGCCCACATGCTTTCATCTCCTCTTCACATGACCTCCTCCAAGTCACCCTTGGACGACCAACTCGCCGCCTCCCTTTCCGGTTCCACTCGAGGGCTTGTCTAGTGATGTCACTTGATGGTTTCCTCAGCGTATGGCCAATCCATCTCCATTTCTTTCTGCCTATTTGTTTCACAATCGGTTCCTGATTGGTTCGCTCCCAGAGATCCCTGTTGCTGATCTTTTCTGGCCATCTGATCTTGAGTATTGAGCGGAGACAGTTGTTAATGAAGGTTTGAAGTTTGTTTGAGATGCTCTTTATGACTCGCCAAGTCTCTGATCCGTATAGTAGCACTGACTTCACATTGGAGTTGAAAATCCGGATCTTATTTTTGATGCTGAGTGCTGTTGACCTCCACACAGATTTGAGAGTAATGAAAGCTTGTCTTGCTTTTCCGATTCTGGCTTTGATGTCTTCGTCAGTTCCGCCTGTAGTTGAGACGATGCTTCCCAGGTAGGTGAAGGAGGTTGTTTCTTTCAGGTTCTTCCCATTTATGCTTATTGTGGTCTGTTGTTGCTGTTGATGTTGGCAAGGAATCTTCATCATCTCTGTTTTATCTATGTTCACGTGAAGTCCTATCTTTGATGCTTCTTCTGCCAACTTGTTACTTTTCATTTGCATATCTTCCAGTTTATGGGAAATCAGACATATATCATCGGCGAAATCCAGATCCTCCAAGTCTTTTGTGTCAGTCCATTTTATGCCTGTTCCCTCGTTGGTTGCCGTTGTCTGTCGCATTATCCAATCAATTGCAATCAGGAAGATCATTGGTGATAGTAGACAGCCTTGCCTCACTCCCGTCCTCACTTCGAAGGCTTCCGTAAGTTTCCCGTTGTGGATTACTTGGCATGCAGCATTGTCGTATAACTGTTGGATGAGGTGTATAATTGTCAATGGGACCCCGTAGTAGCGAAGTAGTTTCCAAATGACCTCTCGATCGACGCTGTCGAAGGCCTTTTCAAAGTCGATGAAGTTGAGATAGAGAGGTGACTGCCATTCCAAGCTTTGTTCAATGATGATCCGTAGAGTGGCGATTTGATCAATACATGATTTGTTTCTCCTGAATCCAGCCTGTTCCGGACGAAGTTTTTCATCTAGGGCTTGTTTGATTCTCTCCAGGATGATGCGACTTAGTATCTTGCTTGGAATGGACAGAAGCATAATTCCACGCCAGTTTTTACATTGACTTAAGTCTCCTTTCTTTGGAAGTTTGAATAAGTAACTGTTCTTCCAATCCTCGGGTACTTTGCCCTCTTTCCACACCTTCTCCAGTAATGGTGTCATCAAGTCCGCTGTTGTCTCTGGGTCTATTTTCAAAGCCTCTGCTGGGATTCCATCTGGTCCCGGTGTTTTCCCAGTTATACGTAATATACGTATACGTAATATAATCAAATTTATCCTACCTGTGGCTGGCCGAGTAATAGGCCGCCTTTTTGTGCGTCGGTAGCACACCGGTTAGGACGCTCGCCGACCATGCATATGGTCCGGCGTTTGATCCCCGGCCGATGCACTCCGTGAGTCAGTAGCACAGCGATAGAACGCTCGTCAACCACTCATGTTGTCCGAGGTACCTCGGACAACATGAGTGGTTGAACGTTCGATCCGCGGTCTGAGCATATCTTTTGCGCGTCGGTGGCACAGTGCTTAGGACTCTCAGTAACTATGCACATGGTTGGAGTTCCGATCCCCTGCCGACGCACACTAGATATCTATGGTCGGCCTGGAAAATTTGGGCTACCGATATCACATACTGACAATTCCATACTTGTACCGAAAATACGGTGTGGAATCAAGCTGTAATCAAATTAAAAAGTTATACTTATGTATATATACATTTCGGGGCACGCCTAGGGGCACCCTCCCACGCGAGCTGATGCGCCCGAAATTTTTACCCCAAAAAATCTGCAGTTCGCCCGAAAATAACGCTACATATATGTAGGTATACCTAGATATACGGGCGTTGATATGGCATATCACCTATTTGAAGTGGCGCCTCTGGCTCAAGCTTAACGGCATTTGCG